ACACAGCATCTTCACGACATGGCGGCGGCGGCAACAATACTACAGCGAGAATAAAAGTTATGCCTTCTTTCTTTGCGTGAACATTTGGGCTGTGTTATGCAAATCTTCCCACATCGTGACGTAGATATGTGGGGGTGTGTTAGAACGAGCCGTTTTAGGTAGGCGTGGTTGACTCTTAACTTTTATAAAGAATATATCTTTGGATTTGAGAATTTAGTCTTTGCAACTTTACAGATCTTCTTTATGCACCAAGAGCTTTTAACACTCCAAAGAGAAAGGAAAAATTTAAATCGTATCATATGATTCCTTTAAGGCTTTCAAATGGTTTGTTGCACACATGTTTTATTTATTGTCTATTTTATTGCCTTGTTTACTTTGTTGCACCTTTTTTGCACTGGCCATTTTAGCACGATGGATCTCAAGGGAACATTATATCATCTTTCTGTATATATTTATATGAATGTAACTGACATTAAATGTCTCTTGACTCTTAATAGGTAAAATGTAAATAATAGGTAAATCGTCAGTAGGTTAAAAAAACACATTGCCTTCTAGGGCACATAAAATAAAATAAAAAAAACTCTTTATTAATAGATGATTGATTACATATTCACATCACACTCCATTTTTTTTTATTTTATTTTTTTACAATACATTTGTTAAGATTTGTTTTAATGTTTTTTTGTTTTGTTTCTTATGCTCACCAAGGCTGCATTTATTTGATCAAATGTACAGTAAAAACAATAATATTGTGCAATACTACAATTTTACTAGCTTTTAATATATATTAAAATAAAAAACAGTTGTTTAATAAATATTTTTATTTAATATGTTGTAAAAATTATTCATGTGATGGCAAAGCTGAATTTTCAGCATCATTACTGCAGTCTTCAGTGTCACATGATCCTTCAGAAATCATTCTAATATGCTGATTTGCTGTTCAAAAACTCCTTCTTCTTCTTCTGGTGCTGCTTATTAATTTTGTGGAAAAGCTTATTATTAATGCTGTTCAAACAAACAGCTTTATTTCAAAATAGAAAGCATTTTGCATAACATTATAAACGTCTTAACTGTCACTTTTGATCAATTTAAAGCATTCTTGCTAAATAAAATTAAGAATTTTTCCAAAAAAAATAAAAAATCTTACCCTAAATTTTTGAATGGTAGTGTATGTATCTTGAATTCACATTTATGATAAAATTACTTGAGAGATTTTGGAGGGTCTTGAACTAACAATAATTTTTGTTTTTGAGCATAACTAAGCACACAGAATCCTGTAGAAATGTCAGTAGTTTAATGGTCGTTATTAAGTTCTGCAATTGACTTACCCCTTAAATAATTAATTAATTATTCTGATTCATGTGACGTTTTCAAATGCCAAAAAGAGTGTCAGCTCTCATTTTACAGATTTCATCAGATTTTACAGATTTGTGCCCTTAAAACAAACAAACAAAAAAAAGAATTAGAGCATGATATTATCTCTCTCTCTCTCTCTCTTTGTCTCTGTCTCCTCCTGTCTCTCTCATATACACAACTTTGTGATCCAAGAATGAGATGATTTTTCTCAAATTCCCATCTGGTCCTACATTAGCAACTAACTGTAAGGATAATCAGCTGACTGTAAGAAAGCACCAACAAGAGTTATTAATACAGCTCAGCACACTTATTTCCTGTTTTTGTGCAGTTTAAGGTACAATAGAATATAAGGGATGGCCTGGAGCTGTACTAGTCTCTCGTATCACTTCACAGTCTTTCTCAACTCACTGTTTATAATATATTCATGCTCATATGTGTTTATTTGATAAGTAGCTGTGAAAAGTAGCTGTAAAGAAAGGAATATTGTAAAATCAGCTGGTCATTATCCCAAAATAATCACCACGTCGGGGTTTATTTTCTAATAATGACTGGCTGATTATACATTATCTTTCTTTAATCTGCTTACAAACAGGAATCATTTGGGAAAAGACTGTCCTCATTTATAAGAGATTTCTAATTTATTTATTTATTTTTATTATTATTAATATATTTTTGTCTGTTTCTCTGCAGAACTTGCAGTTGCTGGGGGCCACTGCAATTGAAGACAAACTTCAAGACAAAGTTCCTGAAACCATCGAGACCCTTATGAAAGCCGACATTAAGATCTGGATCCTGACTGGAGACAAACAGGAGACCGCCATCAACATAGGTGAGAGTTAAACATATAAAGATTGTTTGTTTGAATATACACTTTGATGTGGAGATGAAGGGGAAGTGGACAGCTTGTGGACGTCAACATGAGTGACATAGCGACATATAAGAACATGTTATGCCATGCTAACTGCTATCCCAGTCATGTTATCTTAATTTTTTTTACCTTCATTTTTCTTATTTTAGTTCTTACAGACAGTGTTGGGCAGTAACGCATTACTTAGTAACGTGTTACTGTAATTTGATTACTTTTTTAGTAACGGAGTAATTTAACGCGTTATAATTTTCAAAATAGTAATTAGAGTATAGTTACAAGCCGAAGTCTCTATACTTTACTGCCGCGTTACATTGCTGACAGAATGCAGTGTTTTATAATCTAGAGACCTAAAAAGGATGTAGCACAGGCACTGTCGAGTCAAGTGCCAGTGGATTAGAGACCTGCTCCCGCGAGACCCAACGCAACAGAATGCGGCACGGGACAAGATGGGCGAGTGCGGGCGGTTAGACACACGTGTGTGTGTGTGAGGGATGCGGGAGAATAAAATTATTCACAGGACTCCCGCAAAATAGAAATATCTAAACATAAAATATCTAAAACAAATAAATTGTTATTCATCTATTGCACAAAAGCAACATGAACTAATATAAAATATAAACGATTAACAGGTGCTAGCATATGCAGAGTTTCATAACACATGAATTGTAGACATTATGAAAGATTCATTATGCATTTATTTGTGTTATAACGGATATTTGTGAGATTGCGATGAACTGAGATGTCTTTTAGAGATTATAAATACAGCGCTCTTTGCTGGCATTCTGCCATGCCAAACCATGCAAGCAGCAGCCGCTTGCTTTAGTTAAAAATAACAGTGTTCTGTGAATGTTGATGCTTTAATAACAAATATTTATCGGGAGCGTGTATGCTGGGATTTCATAAATTTAATGGAGAAAAAAGTAACGTAACTAGTAATGTAACTAATTACTAATTACTTTTGAAATAAAGTAATCAGAACAGTAACGTGATTACTTTTAAAAGGAGTAATCAGTAATTTGATTACATTTTCAGAGTAACTTGCCCAACACTGCTTACAGATGAGATGCATCAGGGTTTTTTCCTTATATATTGACATTAACCAGTGAGAATTTCTCTCCCTAATTTAAATGATCAAAAGTATACAAATTCCTACCCAGACCTCTCTCGCTCTTACACTTAAACAAACATAGCTCTTCCTGACTGGCTGTCACACAGGTATAAGGTGTTTGGTTTCTTTCCACATCTGAAAGCTGATGTAACACACGTGTCCTCGACCTGCTCGGCTCTAATCTGTCCCTGCAAAAACCACCAGCTCTCAAAACAGACCACGGTCCCTCCTCCTATTTCCCTGTGATGTGGCGTCTCGTATTAGTCAGCTGCGTGACTACCAGTGTGGCTTTCCAACAGACCTCGTGTTAAACGCTACAGTCAGTTTTACTGGACCTCCACTTGGCCGGCATGCACTCTAAAATAAAGACACCCGTGTCTGTTTACTTTGTATATTTTGATTTTTGTAATTCATCATTTTGGAGCAGTTGAAGGATGACAAGAGACAAGAGTCTTCCAGCTACTTTAGGTTCCCAGAATCCTTTGCCAGCATCGTTAAAAGGTGTCTGAGGCAAGGTTATTTTCGTAAACGAAAACTGAAACTAAGACTAAAACTATTGGTCAAAAAACATTTTCGTAAACTGAAATAAAATTACAATTAAAAATTGTATTTTTATTTCAGTTAACAACAGTAACTGGAAAAACTAACTAAAATAAAATAATAATTAGCAAAAATAAATTATCATGTTCGTGATTTAATAAACTCATTCTGTGCCAGAAAATCTGACCTGTGGTTGTTTAGGGAAATACCTGTAGATGGCGCTTCATGACCGTGAGCTGAGTCCTAAGCGGCTATTCACAGAGAAGGCGTTTTTGCCATAGACTGTATGGTTTTTGCATTTAAAAAAACAAGATACGGGAAATGTAATCGGAAATAACTATAAAATATGAAATGGGAAATAATAATAATGCACACCCTACAGCGCACGGACGTTTAAAAGCGTGCTTGACGTGCGAGAACAACATGAAAGTGAGTCAGCTTAAAGTTTTTTGGATGAGCTGACTTAAAGGGATAGTTCACCCAAAAATGAAAATTCTGTCATCATTTACTCACCCTCATGTCGTTCCAAACCTGTACGAGTTGCTTTCTTATGTTGAACACAAAAGAAGATATTTTTAAGTGAACAGTCATTTTGTCACGCTTTACGATTACTATGGCAACGTCCGCCTCGAGTCCATGACACGAGCACTGCCTTGACTGTACAAAACACGTCCAAAATGAGAGAAAGCGGCAGCGCAGTGTTTTCACCGCTTGCTGTGTCCTGTGTAAAAGGGGCTTTATGGGATTGATTGCGTTGCTCATCTGAAGCGTGTGTGCGCTGGAGCGGCTCGTCAAAGCAAAGTGCAAACATCATTTAAATCACCATATCGCATTTAGTTTTGAGTAGTACGTGCGCGCTGGAGCGGCTCGTCAAAGTAAAGTGTAAGCATCATTTAAATCACCATACTAAATCACAGCAGCGTCCATCTGTGAAGGATATAGGCTATCAAACATATACAACTGCTAGCCAATCATAGCAGTGGGCGTTTACTTCGGAGTCTACAAACCGCCACGCCTATTCAAACAGAGCGTTCCGATGAGGGGGGTCAAAACAGGACAGAAAATAGCCTATTACTTCTAAATTATGATGTTTTTTATGTAAAAATCTTGATAACATTATAAGTGGACCTCAGAGAACAGTACAAAATAAAAAACAAAGGCCTTTAAGGTTTTTTTTATCACTTGAAATCATGAATGCATACATTAAAACCACAGCATATAAGGGTTCTTCATTTCCCACACTTGCACTCTCCAAAAACATATGAAAAGCTATCAGGAGTGAAGTGAACCCTAGCACTGTGAAGTCAAGCGCAGTTTAATCTCAGGTTAGTGGACACTTAGAGTTGTTTAGCCGCCTCTTTTACATTGTACACGAAACCGCTCCAGTTCTTCTATCCACACTAGCCCTCTGACAGCCTTATTAATGTATCAGACCATTAAGCAGAAAGTTGGATTGAGGACAGACCAGCTATCCACACTGTGCTGCTACAGCTGGGCTGTTGATCCTGGCCACTGGGTGCCACTGTAAAGCCTCAGAGATTAAAGCCCAAACAAACAGCATGCGGCCAACGCAAACAACTCAACATGCCCTCTTCTAACCCACAGCCACTGCCAACAGACCGAATGAAAACCCACCCTGCAGTAGCGCGGAGCCAATGCAACCGCTGATTGTAACCTCAGTGCCTCCTTTACAGATTCATACAGAGTTATGCTGCGTAATGCAGGTGTCACAGTGAAAATCTGTCGCTTCTACCAAGGGTGTTTTAGTTTAACCAAGTTGAAGAAGGCTGAGGTGACATTAGACTGCCAGCGGTCAGGAGGAAGCTGTGGAAATATGTCAAGGTTTGGGTCACTGTCAGGAAACCAAATCTGTTTTCCACACAGGCAGGAAATTTGAGTGAATATGCAAGTTTGAAATCAACAGAAGCACTTAAAAACAGGAATGACAGGACACCAGCACACAAATGCATACTCATTCATGCGCTTGTTGAATTTGGTCACAGTTTTGAAATGGCACAGTCACATTTACTTAAGGGTGAAGTGTGTCGTCTTGGTTTTTTTTCTTTTTCTTTTTTTCTTTCTGTTAAAATGTGCAAAGTTAGCTACAAGGCTACTATTCATAAATTGACTTCCTGAATGGTCCCACTACTAGGGCTTGAATTTGGGGCCTTAGGGTTTGGGAAACCTGTTTTGGAAATTATTTTTGCAGTATCGTATGGTGTCGCTATTGGCATGGAATCATATGCTAAATGTTAAATAGTGTAAATTATTATCCTTTTATAATAACTAGTATTGTTATGCGAAGTAATGAGTTTTACAACAAAAACAGGTATAATGTAATGTTTTACAGCACCAACAATTATAGATTTTTGAAATATCATTGCTAGGATAAATATATCAGGTCTATCTGATACGTAATTACTGTAATTTAATATAACTACTGCTTTTGGGCAATTCTTGTCTTTTATAGTAACTTTTATTTAAAGGGGTCATATGATGCGATTTAAATTTTTCCATTCTCTTTGTGTCCCAGTGTTTCTTTCCAGTGCACACACACAAACCGTTCCCCACGGACATCACTCCTCAAATACTGAGGTGTCGTAACCTATTAAACAGCAAATGGGCTTGTCCCGCCCTTTATGTTGTTTAGACACATCCTGATGGATGATGGGATGTTGTGTTTTTTTTATCGGGTTGAGAGAGCCCGCTGTCAACCTTCCAGTTGTGATCTCATACGAACAGAGGAGAGGCACGTTAAAACCAATGCGGCCTGGGAGTCTTAAACTCAGGTCTGCTGTAAACTTTAATCACAAAATGTGCTTTTCACTCCTCAATTAGTCATTTCTTTCATCCGTTGCTGTGGTTGCACATCATATATCTTTGTAATGTTGATGTTTTGCTAAAATACTAAGTTGCGGCGAACCATTCGTCATTTTTTCAAATGCCAAGCAAGGTGTTTTTTCCCCACAAACAGGCTTAGTGAGAGGTTTAAGTAATGAGTTCTTTTTTTATTAAAATTTTTTTTTTCCTGTAGGACACTCCTGCAAACTGCTCACGAAGAACATGGGCCTGCTGGTGATAAACGAGGACACCCTGGATGTGAGTATTGAGATGGAGGTGTATGTTTATTTGAAAAACCAGTTACATGTCACCATTTGTAATGCAAGCTCAGAGAAGAGATGAAAAGACACGACAGCTGACGGATCGCTTCAGGCCCCCGGTACGTGAAAGCATGTGACATAATTCCCAATGTGACTCTCTTCCAGAACAGTTATAGATTTTGTTTTGGGTTTTTTACCAAAACCGTTCCCCTCCGGTTTCTGTCTTTGCTCTCTCATATTTCTCTGAAAGAAAGGAATAAAGTGATATAGTGGGGCCCAAAAGACTGGAGCTCTTATAAAAATGTTAGGTTGTATTTTTATAATTACACTATTTTATTATTATTATTAATAATAATAAATTTTTATTGTTTTACATTACGCTACTGTTCAAAAGTCGGGGTCAGTAACTTTTTTTTAAAGAAATTGATTATTTTATTTGGTAAGAATGGATTAAATTGATCAAAACAGACAGCAAAGGATCCTGAAAAAACTCACGATTTCCACAAAAATATTAAGCAGCACAACCGTTTTCAACATTGCTAATAAACTACAAAATTGGTTTCAAATGATTATATAGAAAACAACAAATCATAATCAATCCACAGACTCCACTCCACATCTGAAACGAATTAATGAGATCAATAACACATCAGGCAAAAATGCTGTTTATAAACATTGTACCCACAATTAAAAAAAAAAAAAACAACAACTGGAGACTGTGGATTATGATCACCTGATGTTTGACATTTTCTATATAATCATTGAGAAACTAAGAATTGTTACACTGATGAAGGCAGATTGCCGAAGCGTTTTTAATCTCCTGTTTTAACTTAACATGCGGTGAATGCATTGATTGCCCCATTGATATTAAGAAAAGTTACTTGAGCACCAAACGTTACTCCACGACAGGTGTAATGGTTGCTGAAAAGTCCAATTTAAAATTTTAATTTAAATTGTAATATTTCATAATATTTTCGATTAAATAAATGCAGTAAGCATAAGAGACTTTCAAAAACATTAAAATATCTCACCAACCCCAGACCTTTGAAAGGTAGTGTAATATATATTTACATGTTATATATATGTATGTATCTATGTGTGTTTATATATGCATGTATGTATGTGTGTATATATATA